AGCGGCCGCCCTCTCGGTGCCTCCTCTGCTCGGCGGCTGTGCGGCCCGGGGCCAGCGGCCGCCCTCTCGGTGCCTCCTCTGCTCGGCGGCTGTGCATCCCGCGGCCAGCGGCCGCCCTCTCGGTGCCTCCTCTGCTCGGCGGCTGTGCGGCCCGGGGCCAGCGGCCGCCCTCTCGGTGCTTCCTTCTTTTTGTAGCTAACGGGAATCACAGTTCCTTTCCAGCTCCGTGGGCCATGAGATTCTGTGGGGCACAGTCCAGGATAGGAAGGGAGATGACTGTGAGCACCTGTGTCTGGAGACAGCTTCACAGGAGGGGGCTGGAATGGAGCCTGAAGGAATTTGAAGAGGGAGCAGGGGAAGGCATAAGAGCGCCGAGAACGAATCGAGAATGAATCGAAGGCTGCGTAAGAAAAAGGCCAAGACCAGCAGGAAGGAGACAGCAAGACCACTGGCCAGAACCAAGAGTGCGTTGACTCATGGTGGGAAGTTCCCATGGTCAGATCCCTTCCGGGAGGTCAGGTGGGGAGAGGCCACGAAGCCGGGCGGATGGCTTGTCTAGAAGGACAGTGCTGTTGAAGGCCTTGAGCAGGATCAGAGGCCCCCGGCTGCATTTAAAGGGCCAGTCTAGCTGGAGTTTGCAGGGTGGGTTGGAGTTGGGAGAGCCTGGGTTTGACTTTGGGGCACGTTGTGCCTGAGGTGGCATAAGTGTCACGGGAAATAAATACCCAGGAAGCTGTTTGAGGCGTGGACCAGAGGCAGAGAGAAGACAGGACTGGAGATAAGAACTCACTGTCATGGGGGTATCGGTGATCAGTGAAGCAGTGAGAGGGACTTGGCTAATCTCATAAATTACAGCATCACAGTTTAGGATTTTGGTTTTTTCTTTTTCATTCTAGTTCCTGTGGGTAGTAACACAGTAACATTGACAAATGGATTACCACCTGCAGAATTTCACACTTTTAAAAACTTTTTTTTTTTTTAACTTCTGGAGAATAAATTTTAAAAATTTTCCTAGTTTCTTCTGAAATTTGTCACCAGTTCTTTTGGTAGAGGGAGCATTTTTTAATCTTCTAGACCAGGAGCTACAAACTGTGGGCCAAATCTGGCCCACCATCCGTTTTGGTAAATACGGCACACAGCCGTACCCGTTCGTTTACAGCCATGCGTGCCTGCCTTTGGAGCCCTTGGGGCGCAGTGGGTAAGCGCTCGGCTGCTAACCAAAAGGTCCGCAGTTGGAATCCACCAGCTGCTCCTTGGAAACCCTGTGGGGCAGTTCTGCTCTGTCTGTAGGGTCGCTGTGAGTCGGAATTGACTCGACGGGCGGCAGTGCATTTTTGGTGCCGGCTTTCACACTACGGGGGAGACCTGTGTGTGGCCTGTGGAGGGTGGGCCTGGCCCTGTGCTGTGCTGTTCCCTGCTCATTTCTTTATTTCTCCCTCTGCCTTCCTCTTCCTTCAACAGAACCACCTGCCGGGGCCCCCAGTTAGTTTCACCCGGGTCCTGTCCTCAGCTTGTTTCCTGTGAGCCGTGAAGCGAGCGGGTTTCCCAGTTCCCAGGAAGGGGCCTTCCTGGGGCAGGAAGTTGTGGTGGTCATGTCACACCCTCGTCTCTTCCCTCTGACACGGGGTCTTGATCACAGCTGCTAAATTTAAATTGTTTCTGCTTCAGCAACAGATTTCTAAGCGAAGAGTCAGAAGATTGTTGGACGCCAACGACTAGACAGCGTTTAAAAATAGTCCTTTTTCCCCAGTAGAATGGGCTCTTTAGTAAGAAAACAAAAGCGCAGTAAACAAGTTTTACTGCAAAGCTACAACTGCCTTCTATCACCAGAGCACACCCAGTTAAATTAACTAATCGAAATCCAGGAAAAATTGTAAAACTGTGTTGAGAATTGCATCATCTCCTACGGTGGGTTCTGTCTTGGGTTAACAAAGCGGCAAACCGTGCAATTTAAGGCCCCAAAGTGTAAACATAGTATTAAAGGAAATCGTGTTCGAATTTTTTGTTGTATCTGTGTAGATTCTACTTCCACTCTTTCTTGATGAAACAATGTGCTTTACACGTGCTTAACTGAAATAAATTTACATATTTTCTTACAGCCATGGTTTGAAGAAGTTCTTTTCTTGTCGTGGGATTGCGATTGCAGTTGAATATTTTTGGAAGCTTGGCAACAGAAACATCACTGTATTTGTCCCTCAGTGGAGAACAAGGCGCGATCCAAACATCACAGGTGAGGCCAACTGATTTGTCCAGAATTCTAATCGGATGTTTAATGAGTTGGTTTATCACTGCAGCACCCACTACTTAGAATAGAACCATGTGCCATAGGCGGCAGCTTTTTAAAAAAATATAATCATAAACCAGTTGTACCCAGTAATTGTCATTTCTTAAATCTCCCTTGTGATTTAACTTCTGTGATTTTTCACTGACATCCTGAGTCTGAGAATTACAGGAAAGCTTAGTTGAAGAGAGGCTCTTAGAGCATGAGAAACGCCTGGGGCAGGGTCGGGAGTTAACACAGTTAATACAGAAAGGTATATTAGAGTTCATCATAAATCACAAAAATCTCGTTTCTGCTTTAAAAAAGTAAATTAAATATATTTTTCCATTAAGCTGAGTTTCTGACTGTTTGAATAGTATTTTTTTAAATGGTAAAATCTGGTATCCTGAGGTAGTATATCTCTTTAACAGTCCGTTTAACAGCTTCATATAAATTCTTTCTTCTAACTGCGTGCTGCTGTGTGGCTGACTTGCAGGCCACACCCAGAAGGTTTGAACTTAGTGTGAATCGTGATGTGTCCCAGAGACACTCAGGTGTTTTCCTTCTCAGGTGATAAGAAGTCAGGTGGGGGACTGTGCAGGCACTTAACACACTAGAGTTCCTGGGAGCAAAGGTGGACGGGCGGGCGAAGCACGTCGAACAGCAAGTGGAACTTAGTCACCAGTGAGGTGAAAGTGGTGAAACTAACGTTTCCCAAAATAGTCCCAACTTCCCTCATTGTGGATAGCATGTTTGTCCTCACAGAAGGTACTTGGGAAGTGGGACAGACCCCTTCATTTTGTCATTTCATTTCACAATTGAATCCCTGCAGAAGTCTCGCATTCCTGATACTCCTTGTAGCCCTGGGCCATTGCCATCCAGGATTGGGGCATCTCAGCGCAGGTCAGGATGAGGTCCCTTGTAGGGACTGCAGGCATGGGAATTACAGGCCCTGTGCTTCTCGTCCCCTCCTGGTTTTCTAAAATGTGGCTTCAGCCCCCCTTTCCCTCTGTCACTACCCACCCCCTTGAAAATTAGTAAATATTTGTACAGATAACTAAGAGGGGCTGGATAGCAGGTCAGCTGGAGGGCAATTTTTACAGACTCTAGAATAGGGACCGAGCAGGCCTTTCACTGCCTCTGCTCCGGAAGCTCCTCCCTGTTCCCGCCCCGCCCTCCTGGGGACTCTTCTGCTTGTAATGCGGCCTGGGAAGAGTTCCTGATGGTCGGGCTCCTAAATACATGCTTATGGTTTTCTTTTCTTTAGAAGCAAATGAATCGAACCATTTTATGTTTGAAAAATAGCTCGTCAGTTACACATTGCATTTGCCTTCACGAGGACCTTGCTTGGTTGTTTTTTTTTTCTTCCCAGTGAGTTAGTAAAATCGAGTCTTCTTGAGTTGATAGAGTAAAGGTTTTCCACATCTCTCCAGGTGAAACATTTGGGTGTGCTTTGATTTACTTAAATGTCTGGGAAGATAGCCTTGTTCTGAATGTGTGTTCAACTTATTCCATGAACAGAACAACACTTCTTAACCCAGCTCCAGGAGCTTGGAATATTATCTCTAACTCCTGCGCGAATGGTCTTTGGAGAAAGAATTGCCTCTCATGACGACAGGTATGAAAGGCCGCTTCCTGTTTAAGGCGGGTGTGGGGTGGTAGGAGCCAGCCACCTGCTCAGGGGACAGTCTGGACCCATGCTTGTCTTTCTACTTATCTGTTTGTTTATTTTGACCCACACTTTTTTTTTTTGTGGCTTTTGTCTTTTTTTTTTTTTTTTAATTGAACGTTAGATGAAGGTTTACAGAACGAACCAGCTTCTCATTGAACAGTACATATATTGTTTTATGACATTGGTTACAACCCCATGCCATGTCAGTACTCTCCCTTCTTGACCTTGGGTTCCCTATTACCAGTTTTCCTGTCCCCTCCTGCCCTCTAGTCCTTGCTCCTGGGCAGGTGTGCCCCTTTAGTCTCATTTTGTCCTATGGTTGACCCACATTTTTCAAGGACTTACTTGATTCAGGGGTTGAGAATCTTAATATTTATAGGAATGAGGGTTATATTTTCAACTGTCTCTGCTGCGTGGGTTCAGGAACAAAAAAAGCTGTTGAGTTTTTGTTTATTAATAACACACGGCTGAGAATCTATAAGTAAACGCAGATAGTTGTAGTCTTTTTGGTGCCTGCTAAAAGTAAAGTAATGTTTGTATTTTGGTCTGTCTTGTCTCCGTGTGGTGGCCTCAGGAGTGGTTTTCAGACTTCATCTCCTGGTCTGTTTTCAGCCGGTGACTTAATCTGTCATTGTAATGCCTGGGCCCTCCGTGTTTCTTCTGCATAATAGGAGATGGTCGCAGGTGACCCTGGTGTGAGAGGAGTGAGCTGCATTTCTCAGATTTGGGATGTCACTTAGAAGGCAGGTGCATCTGAGACAATAAGCTGTAGCCTGCACTTTAAATTTTTTCTAGAAGCTCTGCTGAGCACCAGCCAGGTCCAGAGTGCGGAGCCAGTTCTCAGGGACACGGGTGATGTGGACATACCTGTTTCCCTGAGGAGCTTGTGCTCTGGAGGAGAAGGCAGACACACAGACACGCAGTAGAGGGGGTGTCACTGTGGCCGAGGAGGAGAAAGATCAGGCCTGGCGCGGAGCATCAGGACTCAGGGACACGGGTGATGTGGACATACCTG